ACTGTGGACATCCCTTGTTTATTATATTTGTTATCATTTGATTACATGTTAACTTCCAGGTTGTGTGAAACGAGGGGTTTACCTTCTAATACAACCCTGAGAAAATAATAAGTATGTAATATTCATTTTAATCATTCATTTAGTCCGGCTGCAACCTGGAGTCGCATCTTATTCATTCATTATGTCTTGTTGCCTAAGAGTTTGTGTATTATAAACACTTTAATGTCATATAACTAACCAGAGGTGGGAGAAGTACTCAGATCTGGTACTTGAGTACAAGTAGAAGTACTCAGATCTGTTACTTGAATACAAGTAGAAGTACTCAGATCTGTTGCTTGAATACAAGTAGAAGTACTCAGATCTGTTACTTGAGTAAAAATAGAAGTACTCAGATCTTGTACTTGAGTAAAAGTAGAAGTACTCAGATCTATTACTTGAGTAAAAGTAGAAGTACTCAGATCTGTTACTTGAGTAAAAATAGAAGTACTCAGATCTGTTACTTGAGTAAAAGTAGAAGTACTCAGATCTGTTACTTGAATACAAGTAGAAGTACTCAGATCTGTTGCTTGAGTAAAAGTAGAAGTACTCAGATCTGTTACTTGAATACAAGTAGAAGTACTCAGATCTGTTACTTGAGTAAAAATAGAAGTACTCAGATCTTGTACTTGAGTAAAAGTAGAAGTACTCAGATCTATTACTTGAATACAAGTATAAGTACTCAGATCTGTTACTTGAATACAAGTATAAGTACTCAGATATATTACTTGAATACAAGTATAAGTACTCAGATCTGTTACTTGAGTAAAAGTAGAAGTACTCAGATCTGTTACTTGAGTAAAAGTAGAAGTACTCAGATCTATTACTTGAATACAAGTATAAGTACTCAGATCTGTTACTTGAATACAAGTATAAGTACTCAGATCTATTACTTGAATACAAGTAGAAGTACTCAGATCTGTTACTTGAGTAAAAATAGAAGTACTCAGATCTTGTACTTGAGTAAAAGTAGAAGTACTCAGATCTATTACTTGAGTAAAAGTAGAAGTACTCAGATCTTGTACTTGAGTAAAAGTAGAAGTACTCAGATCTTGTACTTGAGTAAAAGTAGAAGTACTCAGATCTGTTACTTGAATACAAGTAGAAGTACTCAGATCTGTTACTTGAGTAAAAATAGAAGTACTCAGATCTTGTACTTGAGTAAAAGTAGAAGTACTCAGATCTATTACTTGAATACAAGTAGAAGTACTCAGATCTGTTACTTGAGTAAAAATAGAAGTACTCAGATCTTGTACTTGAGTAAAAGTATAAGTACTCAGATCTTGTACTTGAGTAAAAGTATAAGTACTCAGATCTTGTACTTGAGTAAAAGTAGAAGTACTCAGATCTTGTACTTGAGTAAAAGTAGAAGTACTCAGATCTTGTACTTGAGTAACAGGAGAAGTACTCAGATCTTGTACTTGAGTAAAAGTAGAAGTACTCAGATCTTGTACTTGAGTAAAAGTAGAAGTACTCAGATCTTGTACTTGAGTAACAGTAGAAGTACTCAGATCTTGTACTTGAGTAAAAGTAGAAGTACTCAGATCTTGTACTTGAGTAAAAGTAGAAGTCCTCAGATCTGGTACTTGAGTAAAAGTAGAAGTACTCAGATCTTGTTTTTGAGTAAAAGTAGAAGTACTCAGATCTTGTACTTGAGTAAAAGTAGAAGTGCTCAGATCTGGTACTTGAGTAAAAGTAGAAGTACTCAGATCTTGTTTTTGAGTAAAAGTAGAAGTACTCTGATCTTGTACTTGAGTAAAAGTAGAAGTGCTCAGATCTGGTACTTGAGTAAAAGTAGAAGTACTCAGATCTTGTTTTTGAGTAAAAGTAGAAGTACTCAGATCTTGTACTTGAGTAAAAGTTGAAGTACTCAGATCTTGTACTTGAGTAAAAGTAGAAGTACTCAGATCTGGTACTTGAGTAAAAGTAGAAGTACTCAGAACTTGTTCTTGAGTAAAAGTAGAAGTACTCAGATCTTGTACTTGAGTAAAAGTAGAAGTACTCAGATCTTGTACTTGAGTAAAAGTAGAAGTACTCAGATCTATTACTTGAATACAAGTAGAAGTACTCAGATCTGTTACTTGAGTAAAAATAGAAGTACTCAGATCTTGTACTTGAGTAAAGTATAAGTACTCAGATCTTGTACTTGAGTAAAAGTATAAGTACTCAGATCTTGTACTTGAGTAAAAGTAGAAGTACTCAGATCTTGTACTTGAGTAAAAGTAGAAGTACTCAGATCTTGTACTTGAGTAACAGGAGAAGTACTCAGATCTTGTACTTGAGTAAAAGTAGAAGTACTCAGATCTTGTACTTGAGTAAAAGTAGAAGTACTCAGATCTTGTACTTGAGTAACAGTAGAAGTACTCAGATCTTGTACTTGAGTAAAGTAGAAGTACTCAGATCTTGTACTTGAGTAAAAGTAGAAGTCCTCAGATCTGGTACTTGAGTAAAAGTAGAAGTACTCAGATCTTGTTTTTGAGTAAAAGTAGAAGTACTCAGATCTTGTACTTGAGTAAAAGTAGAAGTGCTCAGATCTGGTACTTGAGTAAAAGTAGAAGTACTCAGATCTTGTTTTTGAGTAAAAGTAGAAGTACTCTGATCTTGTACTTGAGTAAAAGTAGAAGTGCTCAGATCTGGTACTTGAGTAAAAGTAGAAGTACTCAGATCTTGTTTTGAGTAAAAGTAGAAGTACTCAGATCTTGTACTTGAGTAAAAGTTGAAGTACTCAGATCTTGTACTTGAGTAAAAGTAGAAGTACTCAGATCTGGTACTTGAGTAAAAGTAGAAGTACTCAGAACTTGTTCTTGAGTAAAAGTAGAAGTACTCAGATCTTGTACTTGAGTAAAAGTAGAAGTACTCAGATCTTGTACATGAGTAAAAGTAGAAGTACTCAGATCTTGAGTAAAAGTAGAAGTACTCAGATCTGGTACTTGAGTAAAAGTAGAAGTACTCAGATCTTGTTTTTGAGTAAAAGTAGAAGTACTCAGATCTTGGACTTGAGTAAAAGTAGAAGTACTCAGATCTTGGACTTGAGTAAAAGTAGAAGTACCAGAGTGTAGGAATACTCTGTTACAGTAAAAGTCCTGCATTCAAAATGTTCCTCAAGTAAAATTAGAAAAGTATTAGCATACAAATATACTTAAAGTCACTAAGTACAGTACTTGAGTAAATGTACTTCCCACCGCTGTAACTAACAGAAAATGCACCTCTCATGATTCCTTTTATAATGTATAGTTTAAATGCATGAAAGCATATCAGAGACACTCTCCTAATTGAACAGGTGTTCTACACATGGTGCCAATCGGAGGCTTAACTCAGAGGACGTATGCATGAACACCGCTGCAGGATAATACCTCTATTGTCTGCAGAAAATATTATTCAAGCAGAGCTCCTCTCACGCAGAGACGTAGAGGACACTCACACACACAGTTAGGAATCATTGCAGAAGCAGAACCAAAGGCCTGCAGCTCATTTGATCTCTGAAGTTCACACACAGGGTTATTCTATAGCTCTCAGGCTGGTTTCCTGTGCTCTTCATGTTTACTGACTCACATACATATAACACCGACTGCATGTCGAGCACACTGATGACCAGATCAATATCAGAGTGTTTGCAGAGAGGAACGCTTTGCACGTCCGCTGAAGCCTTCATGCATGTGTCTTTTATCAAAAGTCAAAGTCAACTTTATTGTCCATCTTTCAGTTTGTGTGTGTTGTGTGTTTGTGCGTGAGACGGAGAGATCGAAATAGTTTCCCACAATCCCAATTACAAAACTACAAATATATATAAAAATATGTATATCCTATGTATACACAATCAACATGCACACATATGCACACATTAAGATAAAAACACAACGATCGATATATAAAAAATAACAGTCAATTCAATATCTTTGGGAATGTACATGAGTGCATCATGACCAATGTTTATAATGTGTGAATGATATTCAGCTCAGAGAGGCAGTGTGTCACAGGTGTGCAAGGAGTGGACCCAAAGCACGAAGGCAGACACGGGATTCAAGTACAAAAGAGTCTTTACTTGAAAAGTAATTACAATACAAAAATACATACAATAAATAATCTAATCTAATGCTTACCTAACTAAATCCTAGAACAAGACTAATACCTGATCTTCACCTAACTATAACGATAGATGTGGACAATGGCTGTAACAAGATGCAATAGGAAACCGCTGGAGATTTTGGCATAAGACACAAGACAATCTGGCAACAAACAAAGGGAGACAGGACACTATTATACACGAGGAAAGTGGACACAGGTGGAAACAATCAGGGGCGGGGCAGACACTGACGATGGCGGGAAAAAGAACCAAGGCAGGAAGAAAAGGAACCAGGAACGAGACAAGGTGAATACAAAATAAAACAGGAAGTGGAACATAAATATCTAAGCTAACAAAAAACATTTCACACAGTTGCCGACGCACAACACAGTGGAAGGATATATTTGTATTTAAAGAGTGTACAATGAGTTGGAGCGCTAGCCAATAGGGGTGCGAGGGTTCCGTAGTGATGTCACTATGTTCCGGAAGTAAACAAAGGAGCCCGGCGGCACACATAATTTACCATTGTTAAAAATAATATGTGGCGGGGGCACATCAGCGTAGGAGGAAGAGCTCATTCTTCATCTCACCTGTCCGACTCTCTGAACCTGCCTCAGAGGGCGGGCTCTTAGACGGGAAACAGCCAATCAGAGAGCAGAGATTAAATGACGGTTATCAGTATCCGGTAGAGCCTGCTGCTCACAGAAACATCGAATCGTCCCGCTCTAAACTTCTCTGTAGCCTCGAGTCTGGGGCGTGTTCACTCTGTGGAGGAAGTGCGACTACAGTCAGAGAGGATTTCCCTTTAATAATAATAATAATAATAATGATACACTTTATTTGTATAGCACCTTTAAGTTTCTGAATGCTTTGCTCTGTATCTCCTCCCTGTCTCCAGCAGATGTCCTCTCTTCCTCCTGCTGATCACCTGCTTCCTCTCAGCCACTTCCTGTTTGTCGTCATCACTTCCTGCCTTGAACCTGCAACCTGTGAGCTTAATGAGTCTTCACTGTTTTAATGAATCACTGAATGTAATGGTTGATGTTTCTCGTGTTGCTCTGCGCTCCCCTTCCTGACGCATGGTGACTGATGTTTTATCTCTAATGTGCTTTGTGCTAAATGCTAGCTTTAGCGTGCTAATGCATGCTCACTGTAATGCTGATGTTTAGCAGGGTCACTGTTTAGTGTTTGAGATCCTTTACTGCGGTTAAAGCTCTAATGCTACAGGAATGTATGTATTCATACCCTCCTGTTGTCTTCGGGTCAAATCTGACCGATCTACTACTTTCATCAATCATAACTGTTTTACATTCGATTGCATTTAGGCTTCAGGACATCCTTCACAGTAGACATTTGAACATGTAACATTGCTGATCACACTTTCATTGAATTGTGGATGATTTAGTCAACTTCGTAACACCCATGGTGTTCCCGGGCAAACATGACCGCCATGAAGAAAAGGAATTAGTAACCATCCGGATCAGATAAAACACACACACAATGACCCACACACACACACACACACACACACACACACACACACACACACACACACACACACACACACACACACACACGCACACACACACACCATGTATACATCACTTCAGGGGACATTACATTGACTTACATGCATTTCCTGGAGACTTATCCTAACCTTAACCATAACCAACACATGCCTAACCCTAACCAAGTCTTCACCCTAAAATTAATGATTCCCCTCATGGGGACCTCCATTTTGTCCCCATAAGGGAGGCGAGTCCCCACACGTGACTGTGTAAACGGATTTAGGTCCCCACAAGTATAGTAATACTTGGCACACATACACACACACACACACACACACACACACACACACACACACACACACACACACTCTAGATGTGTTCCCCCCCTTATGTGCCCATCCCCCCACATGAATCACACCTGGCACACACAATACAAGTTCAGTGTCTGTTCTTTGTATATTTACTGCAGTTGTTCGTGTATACCAGTAGTCTGATACAATATGTACAGTTTGAAAGGGTGTTCAATGAAATATGGTGATGATTAATGGTGTTTGTGTTAAAACAGGACCGGTCAAATTTGACCACGAACACCAAAGTAAGGGGGGGGGGGGGGGGGGGGACGAAGACAATAGGAGGGTTAAGTTATATTTATCACTGCAGAGGCCAGATGATGAGGCAGCAGAGCCTCGTGCTAAACCTGAGAGCAACAGACCGTCTACCTGCAGGAATACAAGGCTAATACACCTCTAATTAAGGGTAGAAGTACAAGCTTTAGTGGAGTTCACAAAGCTCCACTGCAATGGGATTGATACTAGCACCATTTACATATCTGTATATGAGTTCTACATCCTGAGCTTGCTACTGATATAGATTGAAGCCTGTACAGCTGCAGAGGCCTTTTTAAAATAAGATTTCTGGATCCTTGCAGTTTTATTTTTTAAAGATACGATGATAAAATAGTTCCCCTTCCCTGGGACAATATATGTTTTACATTTAATGAAATGCAGTGGATTTAATAGCCGTAACTAATGTGCACACTTTGTCCCTGAATGAGTGCACAATGCAACAGTCTAACAGAGACCTATGCTCACAATAAGAGACCTTATCTAAAGTACAGATACAGATATCCGTATGGACTTATCAGTCTCCTTACTGCGGACCCTTGCAAACCTAAAGCTTTTAGTTTAGTTTAAACCGTAATGAGATGTCTCTTCTTAGTCTTTTATTCTTGCAAGTAAACAGAAAGATGGTCTTGGTCTGTAGTTTTCCTCTCCTCTGATTCAGCATCTCTGCTTTCTGTATCTTCTGTGTTCAACCTACATGCAGACTGATGGGTGAAGACCTTTGAGTTAGCTTTTCCTTTAGAGTGCACGGGAAACTGTTATTCTCACTGTCTCAAACCCTAATCATAAAACTATCAGGGGTTTTATTCAACTCCAGCGTTGTAATAATGCTGACGTCAGCGGGGCGTCGCCACGTTGTGTTTCTGATGAGTCATCCTCCTCATAACTTTAATCTTTAAGCAAGTCATCGCTCAGGAACAGAAGCTATGGTTTGGTGTCAGGAAGGCAACAAGTACTTCCATTCATCTGCAGGTTCTTTTCTATTGTTGGTTTTATACAATGTAAAAAATAGTGAATAATGTCAATCCCAATGTGATGTCTTTAAATGACTTGTTTAGTTAGAATCAAACCCAAAGATAGGAAACGAAGACAACAGGAGGGTTAAACAACGACCGTGAAACACATCTCAGAGAAGAGAAGAGAGATTGATGCCATATTTTAGCTGATATCTTATTTCAAGTGACTTTTTAGTTATTAATAATCTCTTATTCTGATAAGTTGATATACACCAGTGTACTGTACGTTTATGAAGGTGCACCCTTTCTCTTTAAGATTTGAGTATTTCATAATGAATTTATTTAGTTTATAAAGAGGTTTTTTTAATTCTTTACTGCTGTTAAAATACTCTCTCAAAATGATCTGCAAAATGTTGTGTGAATTAAACTGATAAAGAAATCAAAGTATTGTGTTTTATTATATAATGATGATTAAAACATTCATTATAAGGGCTGTAAATCAAAAATAATATTGTGCTAAAAGGTTATATTTATATAAGTATAATTAAATGACTCTATTTGTGAAGCACCTTACATTCAAGCAATGCAGCACAAGGTCATTTAGAAACAGTAAACGGACAGAATTCATATTGAAAAAGTCAAATAAAAAACATTTCAGACCAGAAATAGATAGAATACATAACATTAAATATTAAAATCAGTGTTTGCCGTGGCATCAGAAGCTGGTGGAATATAGAAATAAAGGATCTTCAGGAAAGTCCCAGAGTTAAAGGGATTTGAGGGGTTAAAACGAGATCTTATATCCGTTTACCTCCAGCCAACTTAAAGCCTAATTAAAGGCGACGGGTTAAAGACAAAGCTCTGATGGGATGATGCAGCTCCAGGTGCATCATGGGTAGTGGAGCAGCAGGTCGGCCTTGCACTTGGCAGCAGATGGTCTGAGAGCCGGACCGAGGAGCAGCAGATCCTGCTGGAAAACACTTTATCTGAAGACGCTCACTTCCTGTCTGTGAAGACATGCCTCACTGCAGGTAACCCTCACACACTTCATTGCTCTCAAACTCTATCTGTGTTTATTGCATGTTTAGCGGGAAATGTTGAACTTGGTACGTGTAGTTTGCAGAGAAAGTGGTGTTTGTGTCGTTGCAGTTAGAAGTATCTGATGATATTGGCAGTATATGTGTGAAGGTGTCAGAAAGTGTGTTTGTGTTTTTCAGAGAACAGACAGGAGCTAAATCTGGTCTAAGTCCATCTGCTGCAGATCTGCTGCGAGGTTAGACCTGCAGGTAAACACGTCACTGTGTCACTCAGGTTCAAGTACATACTGATTTATGTGAGTTTTCTACATGATGCTAACCAGTGGAGGAAAGTGACTAAGGCATCATTTTTAAGGAGAGCAATTCTTTTTTCGTCATCATTCTAAAAGCTTTGGATTTCTTTTACTTTATTTACCTACATTAATATTTATGTTTATTTAGGATCCCCATTAGCTTTATTAGCTTTACCGGCAGTGGCTCAGTCAGTAGAGGCTTGGACTGTGAGCCGTAGGGTCGCCGGTTCAAGTCCCCAACATGGAGCGTGGACTGCTACTTGGAGAGGTCCCAGTTCACCTCCTGCCCTGCCGTGGTGCCCTTGAGCAAGGCACCAGACAACCCCCTTCCCCCCTCACTCCCATTGCTCCCCGGGTGCTGTACAATAGCTGCCCACTGCTCCTAGTACTAGACTCCTGGTGCTAGACTCCTAGTTCTAGACTCCTGGTTCCAGACTTCTGGTACTAGACTCCTGGTACTAGACTCCTAGTACTAGACTCCTAGTTCTAGACTCCTGGTACTAGACTCCTGGTACTAGACTCCTGGTACTAGACTCCTAGTACTAGACTCCTGGTTCTAGACTCCTGGTACTAGACTCCTGGTACTAGACTCCTGGTACTAGACTCCTGGTACTAGACTCCTAGTACTAGACTCCTAGTACTAGACTCCTGGTACTAGACTCCTGGTACTAGACTCCTAGTACTAAACTCCTAGTTCTAGACTCCTGGTGCTAGACTCCTGGTACTGGTACTAGACTCCTGGTACTAGACTCCCGGTGCTAGGCTCCCGGTGCTAGACTCCCGGTGCTAGACTCCTGGTGCTAGGCTCCTGGTGCTAGACTCCCGGTGCTAGACTCCTGGTGCTAGGCTCCCGGTGCTAGACTCCTGGTGCTCTGCATGTGAGACCTGTGTCACATGCAGAGCTGTCACATGTGGGTTTCATCCCTCCGATTCTTCTTCTTCTTTTGCTCTTGACAAAAGCTACTCTTCCTGGGGCCCGACACTTAAAACAATACAACAATAATACAACAACATTCAAGACATAAGTCCTGACATCATGAACAACATCGTCAACAATGTCATCCACTTTCAACATCAAACTCAGCCAAGGATGAGTGCACAAGACACCCACCGGTACAAAGCATGAAATACAATTCAATTAGGGTTCACAGCTCACAAGGGTACATGCTCGATAGTAGATGGCACTTCAATCTCTTCTTGACAGAGGCTCTGGACTCTATGTCAGCGAGGTAGTTTGGCAATGAGTTCCATTCCTTTATAGCGCTATACGTCACAGAAGGTGTGTCCGGGGTTTAGGTGCCGGGAGATGGCCTGATGTAGCTTGTCTAGTCTTATGGTCATGCTCGTCTCCTGTGTAAACTATTTGATCATAAAAATACAGTGTTTTTTTGCTAAATTGGACATTTCTAAGAAAAGTAATAACACGAGATTGCAGACGTTTCTCAACCGGAAGCCAATTTGACGAATTAAACCTTTTTAAAGTATTTCAATGTCACAATATTTCTAAGGTACTTGTAGTTATCCTGGCTCTACTGTTTTCATGCTTTAATGTTTTGGTGCTTTTTTATGCTCATACTTTTGTACTTTTCCAAGTTGATTTATGATTTCCAATCGAGTGTAAATTTGATTTTTATTGTTTAGCAGCCGGGAGTCTGTTGTTTATATATGAGCTTTAGGTTTTGAGAATGGCATGGTCACATGTACACAATATTCTCCTGCAAGTTTTTATAGCTGAACTAGACCTGATTAAATTGTCTTTGCCACCTGAAGCAAATAATGTTTTGCCACTTTGCTTGTGTAGAATTGAAGATTAATGAAGTATTTAAATATAAATACGGCAATACTTTTATCAGTATAAGCTCAATCAGTGTCGATAATGACTTAACAGATATTTGCAGGACTTTAACCTGATAGTATTTCTAGTTTAATTCAGTAGTAGTTCTTCCTTCATTAGCTGTCAGAACATGTTTCTGTGATAGTGTTGAGCTCTTAACCACATGCTGAGAACATTAAAAGGAAGTGACAATAAGCCATGAGGTCGCTTCCTCGCCTGCTTCCTGTTCTTTAACAAAACATCCAGGAAACAGAGGCTGGAAACTGGCACTTGGGGAAAAGCCAAATCCTCTTGCATGTTTGTGAATAAAAGGAATATTTTAAGGATGTTCCAAATATAAACAACTCTGAAGTTAGCAGGCTTGAAAGTAACATGTAAATACTGTTTATATTTGTGTGTTAACTAAGTATGTTTATTCTAAAGCCCTTAATACGCCTCCTCTCTCTGCAGGTAGCAGCTCAGTTCCTCCTCCTGCAGGACGTCCCACTTTAACCCTCTCATGAACACAGAGCGACCAAACAGGAGATAATAATAATCCTCCAAAGATGGCCGCCTGGCTGTATGTCCCCCAGGAGCCCGGGGCCCTCGCTGCTGGGGGCCACATGTGTTCTCTGCAGGATAACATCAAGCAGGAAGTCTTACCCATGATCCTCTGCTCCGCCGGCATCTCTGCAGGACTCGTATACCTGCTCATAGGTATGTCTTCATAACAATTACTAACAAAGCACTTATATACCAATGAAGGGCTGGCTTATCTAAAGCCAGTTGAGTAGCACTGAACATGTTTGGCTCTATGAAACCTGATGTACTTATATGATTCTGTTTTCTTCAAGGTTGTATCTTCTTGGTCGAATGCACTTATTGTCGCTTTGGATAAAAGCATCAGCTAAATCTAATGTAATGTAAACACAAACATACTCTAGTAAGGACTGGCTGCTTAATTTGTATCAATACTATGGTTATTATTAAATATATACACATTTTATATGCATTCATTGTTCATTTTGAAATCATTTGACAGCCCTTATTATAATTATAAATACTAATAATAGTAACCGTTATTATAAAAAAATATTAAAGTAAATCATACAATTCAAATAATATTTAATTATAAAAATAATAATACAACTTTTTAAGAAGAAAAAAGATGAATTGTAAAAATAAGAATTTTACAATAAAAAGTAATCAGAAAATAAAATGACTGAGTAAAGTAAATCAGAAATCTGATTTAAAAAACAATATCTGAGAAAAAAAGTTAAAAAGTCGAGAAAGAAATATGAATTCTGAGGAAAAAAAACGATATTGGAAAAGAAAATGATTTCTGAAAAATCTGAAAGATATGAGAAAGATAATCCAAAAAGAAAAAGTTATAAGAAAAAAAGTCATAATTTGGAAAAATTGTTATTTATTTCTGACAAAAAAAGTCGAAAATATGCAAAAAAAGGTCTGAAATCTAGTAAGAGTCGATTCTGAGAAAAAAGTTCAATCCCTAATTTTAGGGGGAAATAATGATTCTGTGGAAAAAAAGTCCGTAATCTGAGAGAAAAAATGTAATCGGCGAAACAAGTCAAAATTAAAAAAGAAGTTATGAATATAAAAGTCAGACAGACATAAACTCATTTGTATTCCCCCTCTCCTCAGGATCCTGCTGCCATACTTCAGTGTGTACTTCCACAAAAAAAGTTTTAGAAAAAAAGTCTTAATTCAAAGATGGTCAAAAAACTGAGATAATTGAAAAAAAAGTGATAATAAAAAAAACGTTCTGAGTAAAAAATTGTAATTCTGAGAAAAGGTAAATTCTGAAAGACAGTCAAAGTAAGAGGTCCAAAAAGTTCTTGATGTTAGATAGATATTTTCTATAAATATTCTTATATAAGTAAGAAGTAAGTTCGACAAAAATATTTTAACAAATCATATGTTAATAATGTGCAAATTGTACTACAATATACAGTATACTGTATTCATATCACAATACAATTACACAGATAAAGTGACAGACATAAACTCATTTTTATCCCCCCTCTCTCCTCAGGATACCGCTGCTTTAAGCTAATAATGTAATAATAACAGTACTACTTAAAAAAAGAACTTCATAATTATAAAAATAACACTTTTTAAGAAATAAAAGAATAAAAATGTAGAGAAAAAGTCAAAAATCAAAAATGTAATTCAGATATCTGGGAAAAAGGCAATTCTGAGAAAAAAGTCGAAATTCTTGGTGAAGTCGGATATCTGATCAAAGAAAATTATTTAGGGTAAAAAGTAGGGGAAATAATTTAAAAAATCAGATATAAAAAAAGAGTAAATTCGAAAAAAAAAAAAAGTAATGATTCTGTAAAAAATTGAAAAAGGTCTACTCTGAGAAAAAGTTTAAATCGGCAAAAAAAGTCAGAATAAAAAGTGAAAAATATCTAAACATATTACATTACATGTAATTTGTTAGACGCTTTTATCCAAAGCGACTTACATACATTCAGTACTGTGGGCAATCCCCACAGGAGCAATTTGGGGTGAAGTGTCTCAGGGACACAACGACATGCTGACTGCAGTGGCGGTTCTACGGGGTGGCACGGGGTGGCAGCTGCCACCTCAGAAAAATGCCTTGCCACCCCAGCTGCCACCCCAGTTGGCAGCTTTGTTTTGAAAGAAAAGTTGTGGCTCATCGGACATTTATGAGAGAAAATCTCTAATGTCCGAGTGCAAGTGAATGCAGCACAAGACGCGATCCTGAGAAAGTCAAATAAGACGGTGTGTAAAACTGCCCAGCCAAAAAAAAGTAACCACTTTGATTTAACTAGGCCAGTAGGTAAGGACTTTCCACTGGATAATAACTGCAGCAATGTTTTAGCTGAATACACGTTTTGTAACCCTAACTGATGCAGTTAGTCACTTCTTTAATGTTTGTTCTTTCTGATGCAAAGTCAAGGTTGTAACTGTTTGCAATTAAGTTGTGGGGCGCTGAACTGTTCTTTTGATTATTTTTATATATGATAGTAATTACTTGTCTTTCAAATTTGAAGGAGGGTGAGCAAGCATCTTGAGGAACATTCATCATTAAAAAATATAGTTTATTTAATAATAACACTGAATATGTGAATCATAACAGTGATTGACAGCTGATAGGAATAATATGATTGTTAATATTATCATATTCATTCAGACAAACATCGACGAGACAGTTAATTAATGTACTTATTGTAGCAGTCTGCATAGATTTGGTTCCCCTGCTGGTCTAAGAGTGAAACAAGCTAATTCAGTTCAAATTCATTAAACTATGTCTGCCACCTTATATATTTATATGTAAGGCTTTACTGATGTGCCACAATAATGTCACCTAATGTTATTGAGTTAAAATATCAATATTGTGGCTTTCCAAGTTAACATTAATTGATATGACTGCAATTAAATCAGCATATACTTCTGCCAGGGGATGCCACCCCTCAAATTCTCCTGCCACCCTCTTGCCTCTTGCCCATGAATATTCTTCTAGATCCGCCCCTGGCTGACTGCAGTGATCGAACTTGGTACCCCCAGATTCAAAGTCCAGCACTCTATCCACTGAGCCACAGCCGCCCTTAATAATGTGCAAATAGAATATACAGTATACTGTATGTATGCATTTATATCACTATAATAATCAGAATCAGAATGACTTTATTAGTCCCACAGAGGGGACATTTACAGACAGAAATCAACTCTCATTTATTCCCCCCCCCCCCCCCCCCCCCCCCCTCCCCTCCTCAGGATACCGCTGCTTTAAGGCGGTCATGTTCCTCTGTGGCTTCCTCTGTGGCTCTGTCTCTCTCCCGCTGCTCCACCTGGACCCTCCTCTGATGGCCGACCTCTGCCCAGGGACCAGGCTGGTTCTGGGGCTGGGGATCGGGCTCCTCACGGGGCTGATGGCCCTCCTGGTTCCTCCGCTGGGGCTACTGCTCAGCGGCCTGCAGCTGGGGGCCCTGCTCTCCGTGGGGCCCCTGATGCTGCTGGCTCATTTCCACAGCCTGGGGCCAGTGTTGGGCCCCTTGAGCGTGGTGCTGGCTTCAGGCCTGATCGTGGCCTTGATGACTCTTCGCTGGCAGAAGGTCCTGATCATCGCTTACACGTCGGTGTTGGGATCCGCCGTCGTGCTGCTGAGCCTGGACCTCCTGCTGGGAGGGGCCACAGTGCTGGATCAGCTGTTTGATGTGTTCACTGGGAACCCAGTTAAACCCCTCTGCTGGTTCAACTGGGCCATCGCTGGGCTGGGGCCAATCCTCGCTTTGATTGGTGGAGCCGTGCAGTGGAGGTTCACAGCCAGAGGATTTTCACACAAAGAAGGTGAGTTCCTCTCCTGCTGATGTTCAGGTGTATATCAGTATGTAGTGTCTCTACTTTAAAGAGTCCTCTCCTGCTGATGTTCAGGTGTATATCAGTATGTAGTGTCTCTACTTTAAAGAGTCCTCTCCTGCTGATGTTTAAGTGTATATCAGTATGTAGTGTCTCTACTTTAAAGAGTCCTCTCCTGCTGATGTTCAGGTGTATGTCAGTATGTAGTGTCTCTACTTTAAAGAGTCCTCTCCTTCTGATGTTCAGGTGTATATCAGTATGTAGTGTCTCTACTTTAAAGAGTCCTCTCCTGCTGATGTTCAGGTGTATGTCAGTATGTAGTGTCTCTACTTTAAAGAGTCCTCTCCTGCTGATGTTCAGGTGTATGTCAGTATGTAGTGTCTCTACTTTAAAGAGTCCTCTCCTTCTGATGTTCAGGTGTATATCAGTATGTAGTGTCTCTACTTTAAAGAGTTCTCTCCTGCTGATGTTCAGGTGTATATCAGTATGTAGTGTCTCTACTTTAAAGAGTCCTCTCCTGCTGATGTTCAGGTGTATATCAGTATGTAGTTTATCTTCTTTAAAGAGTCCTCTCCTGTTGATGCTCAGGAGTTTATCAGTGTGTACTAGTGTCTCTACTTTAAAGAGTCCTCTCCTGCTGATGTTCAGCTCAAAAAGTTATCCTGTAATGTCATACTTACACTTTATTTGTATCTCCCCTTTCAATGCTTTCCAGCTGCATACAAAAAACAGAAGAAACACGTGAAGAAGCACAAATACAGAGAGTTGAGGAGACGACCTCCACCTCACCGGCGCCGCCGCCCTCCACCTCTGAAACGCTACGCCGGAGACGTCCTGGCACCGGTCAGTGTTTACATTCAGAGACAAAGTGCAGTTCTTTGTTGGTCCCTGAAGGCAGCATCTCCCTGGTCCAATGGGATTCCTCCATGTGATTTTGGATAATGTCAGAAAATAATATCAACGTTCATGATACTTAAACGTTTAGTTCAGCAGGATAATCTCCACATATTACAACCCAGTCTCACGGCATTTTGTGTTATAGTCGTGTATTACAATGCCGCTATGTGATGACTTTCAAAGAGAAAAGCAAGAACACTCGGAATAAAGTGTTATTTTAATTTATTTTTGTATTGATTTTCGGATTTCATATCGCATTAACAACATATCCCTACATCCATTGCGGCTAAAACATCCAATCAGCGAGCTTAAACCATAGCTGAGGATCTTGGGTAATCAGTTCAGTGGCTGTGTATCGCAATGATGCTCGAAATGTCCCTTATAGGCCTACGTCTGTTTCCGGTTTTTATTTTTATTTTGAAATTCAGTTCCTGTTGGACGCCAAAAAAGCCCGAGATTATGGAATTAAACAAATAAATAAAAACAAGGATAATTGTGTGTTATTGGTGAGTAAATAACAGTGTGTTATTTAGAAAAGAATAACAAATTAGAAGGAAAAAAAGATTTGAAAAAATACAGATTTCAGTATTCTGAGGCTCTGAGCCATTTATTTTCCTCACAGACGACAAAAAAAGTCCCGACATTATACGATTTCAAATAAAAACAATAATCGTGGCTTGATATTGAGTAAGAAGATGTTTTTATGAAACCCACATCTTCCGGTCTTCCAAGACCCGACCGGACAAAAAGACGTGCTGCAGGCCCGAAACATACTACCAATAGAAATACATTGCTTTTAAAATCGTGTAACACGAAAAAAGGGGAAAATCGTGTTGAACACGAATCAATAGATTAAATGTTGTGACTATAACACGTTTTTAGGTGTAAACCTATCATCCACCAAGGACCGTTAATAGTCAGGTGCCACTTGATTGACGTATATTTGAGACACCTTATAATATAATAAACATTAACCGTGCTTTACGTGAAGGCTCATCATGACACAAGAGATGACGGGCAGGTCTGCAATTTCCCGTGTTCAGTGAATGCAACAGAGCCAGAGACAACCAGACCAATCAGAGAGTTGCATGGAAATACACGGTGTGCTTGTGTCCTTCAAGCTCGGCTCGTTGTGTGTGTTGGCAATAGCGCATTTAGGGGGAGGAGAGAGAGAAGAGGAGAGAGAGAGAGAGAGAGAGATAGAGAGAGAGAGAGGAGAGTGAAGAGATAGAGATAGAGAGAGATAGAAGAGATAGAGATATAATAGATCCGAGAGAGAGAGAGATATAGAGTAGAGAGAAAGAGAGAGAGATAGAGAGAGAGAGAGAGAGAGAGAGAGAGACCGGTGCTAGCGGGGACCGTGTTGTTAGCATCTGGTTAGCTCTGCACTAACGGACATAAGGAGCTGTTTCCACAACAAGCTGCGGCTCAGGTGAGCTAAAGGACTCTGAGTGTTTAGAACGGTTTGTTCACAAATTATTCAAAAGATTATTTCCGCGGCACACCTTCATATGATCATTATAGTTATACAAACAATAAGAGAATAAATGAAAAAACAGGTATGAAATACTATATGGCAGTAAAACAAGAATACAGTTTAAAAGGGGAGTGATTTGTAAAATATCCATAAAGAAAAAGAAAATCTGTGTACAGTTCTGTTTCATCTGGGTGCTGAGAGAGGTATCCATAGATCTCTTCATGTTGCTCTCAAAGTGCACCAGATTGATGCTTTTAACTTCAATATTTAAAAAATAATCTTCCCGGGGGAGCATGCCCCCGGACCCCCCTAGAGGAGGTGAGGACCTAGAGGAGGTGAGGACCCCCCTAGAGGAGGTGAGGTCCGCCCCCCACTAATAAAATATAGCACTTTACCCCTGCCTATATGCCGTGAGCTGATTATGGAGCCGTCATTGTAACAGTAATTCAGATGCAATTAGCCAACATAAAAGGCCTCAAATTGGAAGCACTGTCTGGGCCGTCTTTTTCACTCAATTTCACTCGCCTTTCACCTAGGCCGAGGTCGGTGATCTTGGGCTTAAAAAGGTTGGTGACCATTGCTATAAAGGAACTACAGCACGGTCACATGACTTCACATCACCACCGCTAAGCTAAAGGTGGCTAATGTTGGGCTATAAAGGAACAACAGCGCGGTCACATGACTTCACGTCACCACCGCTAAGCTAAAGGTGGCTAATGTTGGACTATAAAGGGACTACAGCACGGTCACATGACTTCACGTCACCACCGCTAAGCTAAAGGAGGCTAATGTTTGGCTATAAAGGAACTACAGCACGGTCACATGACTTCACGTCACCACCGCTAAGCTAAAGGAGGCTAATGTTGGGCTATAAAGGAACTACAGCACGGTCACATGACTTCACGTCACCACCGCTAAGCTAAAGGAGGCTAATGTTTGGCTATAAAGGAACTACAGCACGGTCACATGACTTCTCGTCACCACCGCTAAGCTAAAGGGGGCTAATGTTGGGCGTGATGACATTTAGTCGTCTCATTTAAACACTAGTTAGCAACCGCCGTTTTTAAATCCACCTGTGGGGTATTTACTGACTTATGCTATATCGTAGAATACAAATCTTTTCAGCTTGTGTTAACCACAGACCTTATTTCAGGATAAAAACACATTCAGAAAACCATTGAAGAGGGGACAGGAAGTGATGAAACGCTGACTCTTTTCGGACTCATTCCTTCACCCTCTCATTGCATGATAATAATCCTGATCCTGTGTTTCTGTCTCAGAGTTATCTGCAGTGTCTGCAGGAGCGTCAGCAGGGAACAGGATCCTCTTCCTCCTCCTCTTCCTCCAGCAGAAGCCTCGTCTCTGCAGCACACACTCTGATCGACTTTGACTTTGAGACGGGGTCCATGGTGTCTCTGACTTCTGCAGCCACGCCGGTCTACACAGTGGGAAGAAACACGCCTTCCAATGTCTGCAACATGCACGATTACGTTATTTACTGAGAATCAGACAGGAAACCGTTTCCACTGCCGCCCTGAATCCACTTCTTCTGTGATAGTTTGCTTCTAGACCAGTTCATCACATTTTGTGTCGGAGATGTTTTCTGTACAGGCAGCAATAATCTTCATGTACCCTTTATAGTCATGATTTGATTTGTATGGCACTTTTCCCGGTGCTCAAAGACGCTTTACATACAATCAGAACAACAAAAACACAAGTCCTGATCCAAGGGAACGTATAATGTGGGATGATGAATAGAGATTGAAAGCAAAAGTGAGTTTGACGGCTTTTTGAAGGATGCAAGAGCCTTTTGGATGTGACCAGAGGTGGGAAGTAACTAAGTACATTTACTTTTTGAGATATTTGTAGTTTACACGAGTATTTCCATCCTATGCTACTGTGTACTTCTACTCCTCTACAGTTCAGAGGTACAAGGTATACTTTTCCTCCACTGCATGTATTTAACACCTTTAGTTACTTTACAGATGTGGATGAATGATGTGAAATCTAACCAAGTGTTGAATCAGACTTTAGTTCCACCTGGAGTAAATCCACCAGCTACCCTGCAGTATACAAAGCCATTCAAACTAGCTGCTCCTTTACCAGCTTTGAGAACACTTTCATGATCAATCATTATAAAACATATCATATATATTATTCTGAAATGGACCAATCTGCACAACGACTACTTTTACTGTCGCTACTTTAACTATATTTAGATGATAATACTTTTCTACTTTTACTTGAGGAACATTTTTGAATGCAGGACTTTTACTGTAACAGAGTATTCCTACACTCTGGTACTTCTACTTTTACTCAAGTACAAGATCTGAGTACTTCTACTTTTACTACAAGATCTGAGTACTTCTACTTTTACTCAACTACAATATCTGAGTACTTCTACTTTCACTCAAGTAAAGGTTCTGAGTACTTCTACTTTCACTCAAGTACAAGATCTGAGTACTTCTACTTTCACTCAAGTAAAGGTTCTGAGTACTTCTACTTTTACTCAAGTACAAGATCTGAGTACTTCTGATTTTACTCAAGTACAAGATCTGAGTACTTCTACTTTTACTCAAGTACAAGATCTGAGTACTTCTACTTTTACTCAAGTACAAGATCTGAGTACTTCTGCTTTTACTCAAGTACAAGATCTGAGTACTTCTACTTTTACTCAAGTACAAGACCTGAGTACTTCTACTTTTACTCAAGTACAAGATCTGAGTACTTCTACTTTTACTCAAGTACAAGATCTGAGTACTTCTGATTTTACTCAAGTACAAGATCTGAGTACTTCTACTTTTACTAAAGTACAAGATCTGAGTACTTCTGCTTTTACTCAAGTACAAGATCTGAGTACTTCTACTTTTACTCAAGTACAAGACCTGAGTACTTCTACTTTAACTCAAGTGCAAGATCTGAGTACTTCTACTTTTACTCAAGAACAAGATCTGAGTACTTCTACTTTAACTCAAGTGCAAGATCTGAGTACTTCTACTTTAAGTACATGAAAGATGCAGAGAAAGTCAATGTGATGAGACTGAGATGTATTTTTAAAGTATGAGTTTGAAGAGAAAGAGAAATGTGGAATGTTGTAAAATAAAAAATGATTGGACAGAAAAAACGACAGCTTGATTGTCCAGTTTTTGAAGTAATGTTTTATATAAATATTGGTTTGCAGAACTCAAAAAACAACAAGCAGGGCCTTTTTAAAATAATATTGACAAAGGGACTCGTCACACCAAAATGTACAGTGTTGATTTGCTGCAGACTTAAAACAATCCTTTTCTTCCTCACACATTGATCAAATCTCTCTCTGTGTGTGATGAGGTGTGTTTCAGTCGTCACACTTCAGCCAATCGGCTGCGAGAATTCGAGGTTTCTCCACGTGTTTCTGCAGCTTCACGCTCCAGACCTGCGAGCCTTTGAACAGAAAGATGTTCGCGTCGGAGGAGGCGAGGGGGCCGCCGGGGAACAGATGGGACAACGGCCGGGGGTACGAGGAGAAGCCGGAGGTGCTGGTTTCATCCCACTGCCAGTATCCTGAGCCCTGGGACGAAACACAGTGTCACTGGGAGTACAATCCAGCTAAGGCTGCTAATAACCAATATCTTTGTTTAGTATAATGATAATAATAATAATTCTTAAGAAGTACTAATAAATAACTAAAGTATAATAATAAAGGATTAAAAAGTAGGCCTTCGAATAAAAATAGCAGAATATTTATTCACTTTTTTTGAGTAATTAATTGGTTGACAACGTCTCTACTCATTTTCCTAATACATATATATTCCTACATCCTTTGCTCTTCACTCACTTTGATAAAGATGAGTTTCTTGCTGAGGTAGAAGGCAGCGTCGATGTTTGCCGGGATGTTGGACAGCTTTCTGGGGAAGGTCCAGTTTGAAGCCTGAGTACCTCCAGACTCGATTATCTGATGAACAGCAAAATAACTCGTATTTAGAGACGTTTATATCGATTATTTAAACAATTGTGTTAGTCCTAATTATGTGCAATCAGGGCCGTTTCTAGCTGTTTGGGGGCCCTAGTTTTTACAGTTTTGTAACTACCAGGGGGGATTCGCAGCCTTTAAGATGATCTGTGGAGACGCATCAATCTGTTTCACTTTAAGAGGAAAACAGGCTGATTTCACGAAAACCAAGCAATTGAAAGTTACCAAAAATGATATTAAAAAGATAAACAATAAGGCTCCTCTTCGTCAATAAATGCAAGAGATGCAGCATTTTCTCAACGATGTACAATTTACATTTGTCTTCTTCCTCAGACGTCACTCATTGGCTGACAGCCCAACGATGATTTGGACTTTATTGATCCCCAAAAACATAAACCACAGCTTTGCTATCATTGCACTTTAGTTGTGTTTATATCCTACATTTGATTTGTAAGCATATAATGCTTCAGCGAACACAGGAGGGGGCTCGGCTGTCGACAAATAAAGACGGCTCATTTGAATTCTCTCCAAATATATTGAGGCTGAACTTTGAGCTTGGGGGCCCCCTAGTGGCCGCGGGGGCCCTATGCATCCACACAGTCCGCCTATAGGAAGAAACGGCCCTGTGTCCAATACTTTGTTTAATTGCGGCTGCAACGAAAACATTTGCCGATTTGGGATTAATAAACTATAAAGTATTAATAAATTATAAAATGTATTAGATATAGATAAAATAAAATAATAATATTTATACAATGCAGTTAAATTATATCTTAATAAATAATATTACTGTTAATTATAACTTGTAATTTCCTGAGTGCACCTTTGAGGAAGTATGTCTTCCCGCTCCTCTGTGAGGTCACGGCGGCACTCAGCCCCCCCGGCAGCTCCCTCCAGGGGTCAGGCGGGGGGGGGGGGTCGAGGCCGGAGCTGGAGACCGTCCACACGAAGCCCCCCCTGAACACAAAGGTCTTCTGCTGGGGGCCTAAAGGCACACAGTGGATAGCACCAAGTCATGAAGTTTAGTAGAAAGAAAAATGTGCAAAAAAATATATAACAATTATTGATGTAATCATGAGATATTAAAGTAAAAAAATGAATAAAAAATACAGCAAATTAAGTTAAAGCAATATATTAATAAGATATCAAATACAAATGTGCAAAAAAACGTTAAAGTGCATCTATCATGCTATGTGTCGGCATTATGGGTCTCAGATATATACAAATATATGAAAACATGTCTATGACGTGTTTTTCTCAAAATACAAACAGATCATGCATTTTAGAAATCCCTCAAACCCCTCTATTCCAGCTGTTAGAGAAACGCGGATTCTGGGTCCTTAGCTTGAAAAAATTGAAGGAGGAGGCGGAGCTAATGCCTGATCAGAATTCTACTGGAGATAAAGTTAAATTCTGCTGTGATAAAACGCCATCCTGTTCTAAACCACATCAAGGATTATTTCTGAAACAGTATGGAGATCAAATGCTTTTTCTCTTGCAGGTTTATCACAAGGTGAGTTCCTTTTTTTATTTCCTGCTTTTTGAACACGTGCTCTCCAGTACAGGTTAGCTCTGAGTGATAGCGAGGCTAATGTAAACAAAGACCATATTACGTCCAAAACACGCCAGGCATTGTTTCTGATAGCAATTTTCTGTGGGTCCACCATCTGATATTACGTCATATCGGCAGCAAATCTGTATCCGCTCGTTGTACCCCCGTTTTTAGAGATGTGGGTACGGAGGAAAAGAGAAAGGGTTTTATTTTCTGACGCTGCGTGAGTTCCCCAACACACCGGGGACACACCGGGGACACGTATTTATGTATAAAAGACATACAAAAGTGCATTTTGCATGATAGGTCCCCTTTAACATTAAAGATGTTAAAGTAAAAAAATGCAATAAAAGATAACATTTGAAAATATGAGTATAAAGACAGAAAAATGAAGTAAAATGCAATAAAATATTTAATTAAATACAAATATTATGCATTATAAATGTAAACCATAAATATGAATATAAGATTTACATGAAGATAGATAGATAATAACCAACCCAGTCTCACAACACAACGTGTAATAGCGACGTTTGTCCACATGGCAAAACGTAGTATATTCACAAATAACCCTCTCAAGACGTGACATGGATACAATATTCTGTAAAAAAAAACATGGAGCTCAAATAATCTTGGTAATATCTATCAAACTGTAGATCCTAAACATCCACTGGACGTAGATTCTAAAAGTACAATATAAACGTCTCTCTAGAAATGTAATCAAAAAGCATTTTAACGGACAAACTCTACAATTTAGGATTTTCCACTCACAATAAATCGGGTGTCCGCCATGTTCTTTTTTCCACGCTGGGAAAGTCTGTGATCACGTGACACGGACACCGGTCTTTAGAGATGAATAGGTCAACAATATTGTATCCATGTCACGTCTTGAGAGGGTTATTTGTGAATATACTACGTGTTGCCGTGTGGACAAACGTCGCTATTACACGTTGTTTTGTGAGACTGGGTTGGAATACCAGCTGTGAGTGGATATTACTAAAGTTTATTAAAGTGTTTGTACCCAACATCACAGCATCCACAGGAGAACCGCAGGGGTCCGGAGCGGCCCCCGGTACCGAAGGAGTCTTTTTGAGAGGAGGGGGCTTCTCCGGCTTCCCTGAAAATATAAATAAAAAACACACATTGTATTAATTCTGCTTTAAAAAGTAGATGCACGACAGAGACTGACACCACTCAAAGACAAGAGGAAATACAATAAAGAAATATAAATGTAGAAAAATCTTCAATTAAAAATGAAATGTATTAAAATGTAAAAATAAATATGAAATAAAATTAATGCTAAAAATTAGGACATAATATATGAAATAAATAAAAATGCATAAAAGAAACATTTTGATAGAAACATTTTATAAAATATATATTGACAATTAAAATGTACAAAAAAATAGAACATATTATATGAACAAAATTAAAGCTGTATCAAAGAAAATATCCAAAAATATGCTAAATTAAAATATAGAAAAAAATGTAATCCAATCCACTTTATTTCTATAGCACATTTAAAAAACAGAGGGTTTGCCAAAGTGCTTCACAACGAACATAACATTATAATAAAGTATAATATCACACGAATAGATACAAGGCACAGAGAAAGGCTATGGACAGGCAATAAAAGCATAGAATAGGTAAAGCTCAGACTGACTCGAAAGAGGGGAAAAGAGGTGGGTCTTCAGGCGGGACTTAAAAGTTTGAAGAGTGGGCGACAATTTGACACGGGGGGGGAAGGGGGGGCAGGTCGTTCCAGAGCCTGGGGGCTACCGCTGAGAAGCCTCGGTCTCCCCTGGTCTTTCTCTTTGTTTTAGGGACTACCAGCTGATCAGCCGACCTCAAAGCCCTTGTAGGAGGTCGGAGATGTACTGAGGGGCCAGCCCATTGAGCGATTTAAAAACAATAGAATCTTAAAATGACTCTAAAATGGACAGGAAGCCAGTGGAGGGAAGCCAGTGGAGGTGTGATGTGCTCATGCTTGCGGGTTCCTGCAGCCGAGCCGCAGCGTTTTGTACAAGCTGCAGGCGTGCCAGCGAAGTCTGGTTTAGGTTGTATCAAATACATTTTATATTAAATGAAATAGAAATAAATTAGAATTAGAATGTGAAAGAATGTGGATATTATATATGTATAAAAAAAAAATCTGTATCAAAAGAAGTTATGAAAAACACTTCTTATTTTCGATATTACCGTACAGAGCCTGGATGCCCTGGATGTCGTCGGGGTGCAGTTTGAAGTGGGCCCGGTACCCGCTGTAGACCGGGCCCATCACAGCGCTGTAGTGCTGCGAGTGACCCAGACCCAACGCGGTTCCAGGGCCGGTTCGGAGCTGGAGCTTGAAAAGCACCGGTTTGTCCTGTTCACACCGCAGCGGAGCCGCCTCTAAGCTCCGGAATCCGGTTCGTTTCAAGCACCAAAAAGTCTAGAAAGCAAGCACCGCATACGTCACGCTTACGTCGAGGCGGGGGCGGGGGCAGGGGCATCAGGTGTAATGTTATACACCAAAGTAATTAATGCTGCAAAGCTGGGTATTTTGAGCTTGGCGCATGCAGAGGCTAACAACAGCTAGCTCTAACACCATCGAATAGGACGTATATTTACCTTCTTTCTCCTACGGAATCATCGTTGAAGTTGATGATGATGATGATGATGACGACGACGACGATGATGATGATGATGATGATGATGATGATGATGATGATGATGATGATGATGATGATGATGATGATGATGATGATGATGATGATGATGATGATGATGATGATGATGATGATGATGATGATTGTAAAGAACTTTTTAATGTAGCATGTAACGACTGTAAAGTTGGTAGTAAAGTCGTCCCATTTGTTCCATTTCGTTTCGACAGAGCAAAACCAAAACGAGCAGCGCTTCAATACAATCGGTCGTTGTTGTCGATGTGAGGGGTTTCCGCGCGGTTTGGATTTATGAAGCAGGCACGCAAACAGTTACGTCATGACGCAAACGATGACGCAGCACCAGTCGGGCTCTGAGCGGTGTGAACAGAGCGGGAGCTGAACCGAAGAACCGGTTCCGAATCAGAAAAGCTCTAGCACGGAGCTAGAACGGGAAAAGCCTTGGTGTGAAAGGGGCAAATGTGTGTCTTATTTGCCATTTCATTTTGCTCTTCATCCATTGTGAGTCTCTTTTAAGTCATTTTGCATATTTTCTGTCATTTTGTCGGTCTTGTAATATCTGTCTCTTTGTAGTCATTTTGTTTCTCATAGTAAATCTGTGTCTCTTCATGGTCCTTTTGCGTATTATTTTTCTCATTGTCTATTTGTGGTAATTCTGTGGAAACTCTCACTCAATGGAGACACATTTCAAGTCCTCATAAGTCCCACAACAACATGAACAGGCAAGGTCCAAGTTTTAAACACCACAGTTGATTTAAAGACCGTGTGTGGTACCTCTCCCATCGAAGGGCACAGGGCAGCTCTTGTCTTTCCGGTGGAAGGAGATCTCGGCTCTTCCTGTCTGCGTCTCTCTGAACTTCAGCGGGGAGACGTCGCTCCAGTACCTGAACGCAGCGCTGATCGCCTGCCGAGTCTTCCCCTGCCCGAGGTCCGGGGTGAAGTTTAAGATCCGGTACGTCAGCATCTTCTTACGCCAGTGTCCTGCAACCAGGAGACAACAAGGGGAAGATCCTGAATGTCCTCTTCCAGTATGAGAGTAACATGATAACAAAGGTATCCCAACTGTAGCTGTGAACATGACAGGATGTGTGATTACCTAGAAGAGCATCAGGACTGTTTGAGGCATATGATAGATATGTGATTAACATGATGATTCAGCCTCTATGGAGAGAGACATCAAGCATGCTCATTTCTGACGTGGAGCTAATCTGAAGTAAACATTGAATACTGCTTTCTATTCCTCCATCTTGTGACTGTGTAACTCCCTCTCTTGGATATCAGCATGTGAAGGACACTGTTCAGGAACTAGTTGATGCTCTGTATGTGATGACTCCTTCCATTCTGGAGAGGATCACAGACACATGGATCCTGAGGTTGAAGCTCAAGCCGGGCACCAGGGAGATTTTCTAACAGGGACGTTTGACACATGTTTACACTGATGTAGTACTTAGATATTTCACTATATGTAGTAAAGAAATACTCTGTTATAAGTTATATGCCATTCAAAGTACAAAGGTATAAGCATCAAAGTACCATCAGTGCTGGAATGTAATGAAGTACATTTACTCAAGTATCCTACCATTTCGAAGTACTTTACTTTTGGAGTCATTTTTTTTTATACTAAGTGAAAAATGTCCCAAAATCAAAATGTACCAGTTTATTTTCCTAACGTTCTCTATTTGTGTCGGCAGACTTCTCCAAAACTCCCTCAAAAGTTACCATGAGATTTCTGCTAATGTTATATTTAAACATTACTTTAAAAAATGTAGATAATGTTTAATACAAAGTCCATTCAAACTGTCTAACATAATCCATGATGGTTATTTAATAACAAAACCCAAATGTACTCAAATGTTATATGAAACAGTGGAAAGCAGCAGATTTGAGTCTGGAAGCAGCATTTTAAGATATTTATGCACAAAATGATTTGAATGATCTAACGTTGGTCATTTTGTGTCTTTTTTGTGTCTATTTCTGGTAATCTTGTGTCTCTCTGTGGTCATTGTGTGTCTCTTTGTCGGTCTTTGTGGTAATCTTGTGTTTCTCTATGGTCATTGTGTGTCTCTTTGTCGGTCTTTGTGGTAATCTTGTGTGTCTTTGTGGTCATTTTGTGTCTCTTTGTCGGTCTTTGTGGTAATCTTGTGTTTCTCTGTGGTCATTTTGTGTCTCTTTGTTGGTCTTTGTGGTCATTTTGTGTCTCTTTGTGGTCATTGTGTGTCTCTTTGTCGGTCTTTGTGGTAATCTTGTGTGTCTTTGTGGTCATTTTGTGTCTCTTTGTCGGTCTTTGTGGTAATCTTGTGTTTCTCTGTGGTCATTGTGTGTCTCTTTGTCGGTCTTTGTGGTAATCTTGTGTGTCTTTGTGGTCATTTTGTGTCTCTTTGTCGGTCTTTGTGGTAATCTTGTGTTTCTCTGTGGTCATTGTGTGTCTCTTTGTCGGTCTTTGTGGTAATCTTGTGTCTCTTTGTGGTCATTTTGTGTCTCTTTGTCGGTCTTTGTGGTAATCTTGTGTTTCTCTGTGGTCATTTTGTGTCTCTTTGTCGGTCTTTGTGGTAATCTTGTGTGTCTTTGTGGTCATTTTGTGTCTCTTTGTCGGTCTTTGTGGTAATCTTGTGTTTCTCTGTGGTCATTGTGTGTCTCTTTGTCGGTCTTTGTGGTAATCTTGTGTGTCTTTGTGGTCATTTTGTGTCTCTTTGTCGGTCTTTGTGGTAATCTTGTGTTTCTCTGTGGTCATTGTGTGTCTCTTTGTCGGTCTTTGTGGTAATCTTGTGTCTCTTTGTGGTCATTTTGTGTCTCTTTGTCGGTCTTTGTGGTAATCTTGTGTTTCTCTGTGGTCATTTTGTGTCTCTTTGTCGGTCTTTGTGGTAATCTTGTGTTTCTCTGTGGTCATTTTGTGTCTCTTTGTTGGTCTCTGTGGTCATTTTGTGTCTCTTTGTGGTCATTTTGTGTCTCTTTGTCGGTCAGTTACTGTGTCTTAGTAGCATGAAGTAGCATGAAATGAATACACTCAGGTATCTCACAAAGTCAACATTTTACTCTCCACCGTTGATTAAAAGTGTAATTCTGCTTTAACTCAGATAGTGAGATGAGTTGTTACCCAGGACTCTGTATGTGTGGAACCTGAAGGAATCTTCCTCTCCACAGCGAGGGTTCCTCATCATCCTCAGCGTCGCTGCGTCCACTCTGCATGAGACCTGCAGCTGAGTGGCTTTCTGAAACACTCTGACACACACAGACGTTTCGTTTCAACAATCAAACTACCATTAAGAGAGTTCAAATGTGAGAGTAAAGTCACCTCAGGGCTTCATCTCCCGAGGCGGAGGGCGCCTTCCTTCACTGGGCAGCGTTCAGGTAGCCGTACTTCTTTAAATACACCTGAAGAAACACAACTATGAGAATTAAAGTGGTGGGAAAGCATCTGGGTGGATAAAAAATACTCCAAGTCTGGCATTAAACATTGACATTTAAGTAAATCTCTATTTGTTAAATAATTATCCTTAAAGAAGTTGCTTAAAAAACAAAAACAGCATTAGTAATAATGTTTATTAACCCATCCCACTACCCCAACATCTAAAACATAATAATAATAATCAAGAATATCTAATTGTTTAGCAATCAAAGTACATTTTGTAATAAAGCTATTTGAATTTGAGAGAATAGCTGCCAGCTGAGCTTTGCTTCCAATAAATATTGAACGAAACCTGTGAAGTCGCCTGCTCTCAGTCCAGAAGCAGCTGTGGTCATCAGAACCAGAAGCCCCATCAGCTCCAGCAGGAACTCCATCACTTTATCATTAATATAATAAACCAGTTCTCCCTGCTCTGATCCTCGTCCTCCCTGAGTGTGCTTCAGTTTAGACATTCCGTTTTTATAGCGTCTTCTCGAAACCACATCATAAACCTTTACAAGGAATGTGATGTGTGAAAAACAGAAAACATATTTCACACTCAGTAACGCCTCCTGACACCAGCCCATAAAACCGTTTACAGAGGTTCAGAACAACACCCGAGTCTTTGTGTTCACGTCAAAGCAAGTATCTGCACACCGTCTAATAAAGAGGATTGTTTATGATTTGCGACGCATGGTTACAGATCCCCGAGGAAAACAACTGACCACGCTTCCTCCGGGAAACAACAGATAATTATAATGTTCACAACATAGGGAGGAAAAACAATGACGCCCCCGGAGACCATTGTGGAATCCTGCAGAGACAAAACACCTCTCTGTTCATTCAGAGATAAAACTGAGAGAGACTCAGACACTTTCTAAATCCAGCCAGTTCAATGTTAACCCCTGATTCCTCTACTTTAAAGAGTCCTCTCCTGCTGATGTTCAGGTGTATATCAGTATGTAGTGTCTCTACTTTAAAGAGTCCTCTCCTGCTGATGTTCAGATATCAGTATGTAGTGTCTCTACTTTAAAGAGTCCTCTCCTGCTGATGTTCAGGTGTATATCAGTATGTAGTGTCTCTACTTTAAAGAGTCCTCTCCTGCTGATGTTCAGCTGTATATCAGTATGTAGTGTCTCTACTTTAAAGAGTCCTCTCCTGCTGATGTTCAGGTGTATATCAGTATGTAGTGTCTCTACTTTAAAGAGTCCTCTCCTGCTGATGTCCAGGTGAATATCAGTATGTAGTGTCTCTACTTTAAAGAGTCCTCTCCTGCTGATGTTCAGGTGTATATCAGTATGTAGTGTCTCTACTTTAAAGAGTCCTCTCCTGCTGATGTTCAACTGTATATCAGTATGTAGTGTCTCTACTTTAAAGAGTCCTCTCCTGCTGATGTTCAGGTGTATATCAGTATGTAGTGTCTCTACTTTAAAGAGTCCTCTCCTGCTGATGTTCAGATATCAGTATGTAGTGTCTCTACTTTAAAGAGTCCTCTCCTGCTGATGTTCAGGTGTATATCAGTATGTAGTGTCTCTACTTTAAAGAGTCCTCTCCTGCTGATGTTCAGCTGTATATCAGTATGTAGTGTCTCTACTTTAAAGAGTCCTCTCCTGCTGATGTTCAGGTGTATATCAGTATGTAGTGTCTCTACTTTAAAGAGTCCTCTCCTGCTGATGTTCAGGTGAATATCAGTATGTAGTGTCTCTACTTTAAAGAGTCCTCTCCTGCTGATGTTCAGGTGTATATCAGTATGTAGTGTCTCTACTTTAAAGAGTCCTCTCCTGCTGATGTTCAGCTGTATATCAGTATGTAGTGTCTCTACTTTAAAGAGTCCTCTCCTGCTGATGTTCAGGTGTATATCAGTATGTAGTGTCTCTACTTTAAAGAGTCCTCTCCTGCTGATGTTCAGGTGTATATCAGTATGTAGTGTCTCTACTTTAAAGAGTCCTCTCCTGCTGATGTTCAGGTGTATATCAGTATGTAGTGTCTCTACTTTAAAGAGTCCTCTCCTGCTGATGTTCAGGTGAATATCAGTATGTAGTGTCTCTACTTTAAAGAGTCCTCTCCTGCTGATGTTCTGGTGTATATCAGTATGTAGTGTCTCTACTTTAAAGAGTCCTCTCCTGCTGATGTTCAGCTGTATATCAGTATGTAGTGTCTCTACTTTAAAGAGTTCTCTCCTGCTGATGTTCAGGTGTATATCAGTATGTAGTGTCTCTACTTTAAAGAGTCCTCTCCTGCTGATGTTCAGGTGTATATCAGTATGTAGTGTCTCTACTTTAAAGAGTCCTCTCCTGCTGATGTTCAGATATCAGTATGTAGTGTCTCTACTTTAAAGAGTCCTCTCCTGCTGATGTTCAGGTGTATATCAGTATGTAGTGTCTCTACTTTAAAGAGTCCTCTCCTGCTGATGTTCAGCTGTATATCAGTATGTAGTGTCTCTACTTTAAAGAGTCCTCTCCTGCTGATGTTCAGGTGTATATCAGTATGTAGTGTCTCTACTTTAAAGAGTCCTCTCCTGCTGATGTCCAGGTGAATATCAGTATGTAGTGTCTCTACTTTAAAGAGTCCTCTCCTGCTGATGTTCTGGTGTATATCAGTATGTAGTGTCTCTACTTTAAAGAGTCCTCTCCTGCTGATGTCCAGGTCGTATATCAGTATGTAGTGTCTCTACTTTAAAGAGTCCTCTCCTGCTGATGTTCAGGTGTATATCAGTATGTAGTGTCTCTACTTTAAAGAGTCCTCTCCTGCTGATGTTCAGCTGTATATCAGTATGTAGTGTCTCTACTTTAAAGAGTCCTCTCTTGCTGATGTTCAGGTGTATATCAGTATGTAGTGTCTCTACTCTACTTTAAAGAGTCCTCTCCTGCTGATGTCCAGGTGAATATCAGTATGTAGTGTCTCTACTTTAAAGAGTCCTCTCCTGCTGATGTTCTGGTGTATATCAGTGTGTAGTGTCTCTACTTTAAAGAGTCCTCTCCTGCTGATGTTCAGGTGTATATCAGTATGTAGTGTCTCTACTTTAAAGAGTCCTCTCCTGCTGATGTTCAGCTGTATATCAGTATGTAGTGTCTCTACTTTAAAGAGTCCTCTCCTGCTGATGTTCAGGTGTATATCAGTATGTAGTGTCTCTACTTTAAAGAGTCCTCTCCTGCTGATGTTCAGCTGTATATCAGTATGTAGTGTCTCTACTTTAAAGAGTCCTCTCCTGCTGATGTTCAGCTGTATATCAGTATGTAGTGTCTCTACTTTAAAGAGTCCTCTCCTGCTGATGTTCAGCTGTATATCAGTATGTAGTGTCTCTACTTTAAAGAGTCCTCTCCTGCTGATGTTCAGGTGTATATCAGTATGTAGTGTCTCTACTTTAAAGAGTCCTCTCCTGCTGATGTTCAGGTGTATATCAGTATGTAGTGTCTCTACTTTAAAGAGTCCTCTCCTGCTGATGTTCAGGTGTATATCAGTATGTAGTGTCTCTACTTTAAAGAGTCCTCTCCTGCTGATGTTCAGGTGAATATCAGTATGTAGTGTCTCAACTTTAAAGAGTCCTCTCCTGCTGATGTTCAGGTGTATATCAGTATGTAGTGTCTCTACTTTAAAGAGTCCTCTCCTGCTGATGTTCAGCTGTATATCAGTATGTAGTGTCTCTACTTTAAAGAGTTCTCTCCTGCTGATGTTCAGGTGTATATCAGTATGTAGTGTCTCTACTTTAAAGAGTCCTCTCCTGCTGATGTTCAGGTGTATATCATTATGTAGTGTCTCTAATTTAAAGAGTCCTCTCCTGCTGATGTTCAGCTGTATATCAGTATGTAGTGTCTCTACTTTAAAGAGTCCTCTCCTGCTGATGTTCAGGTGTATATCAGTATGTAGTGTCTCTACTTTAAAGAGTCCTCTCCTGCTGATGTTCAGCTGTATATCAGTATGTAGTGTCTCTACTTTAAAGAGTCCTCTCCTGCTGATGTTCAGGTGTATATCAGTATGTAGTGTCTCTACTTTAAAGAGTCCTCTCCTGCTGATGTTCAGGTGTATATCAGTATGTAGTGTCTCTACTTTAAAGAGTCCTCTCCTGCTGATGTTCAGGTGTATATCAGTATGTAGTGTCTCTACTTTAAAGAGTCCTCTCCTGCTGATGTTCAGGTGTATATCAGTATGTAGTGTCTCTACTTTAAAGAGTCCTCTCCTGCTGATGTTCAGGTGTATATCAGTATGTAGTGTCTCTACTTTAAAGAGTCCTCTCCTGCTGATGTTCAGGTGTATATCAGTAGTGTAGTGTCTCTACTTTAAAGAGTCCTCTCCTGCTGATGTTCAGGTGTATATCAGTATGTAGTGTCTCTACTTTAAAGAGTCCTCTCCTGCTGATGTTCAGGTGTATATCAGTATGTAGTGTCTCTACTTTAAAGAGTCCTCTCCTGCTGATGTTCAGGTGTATATCAGTATGTAGTGTCTCTACTTTAAAGAGTCCTCTCCTGCTGATGTTCAGGTGTATATCAGTATGTAGTGTCTCTACTTTAAAGAGTCCTCTCCTGCTGATGTTCAGGTGTATATCAGTATGTAGTGTCTCTACTTTAAAGAGTCCTCTCCTGCTGATGTTCAGGTGTAATATCAGTATGTAGTGTCTCTACTTTAAAGAGTCCTCTCCTGCTGATGTTCAGGTGTATATCAGTATGTAGTGTCTCTACTTTAAAGAGTCCTCTCCTGCTGATGTTCAGGTGTATATCAGTATGTAGTGTCTCTACTTTAAAGAGTCCTCTCCTGCTGATGTTCAGGTGTATATCAGTATGTAGTGTCTCTACTTTAAAGAGTCCTCTCCTGCTGATGTTCAGGTGTATATCAGTATGTAGTGTCTCTACTTTAAAGAGTCCTCTCCTGCTGATGTTCAGGTGTATATCAGTATGTAGTGTCTCTACTTTAAAGAGTCCTCTCCTGCTGATGTTCAGGTGTATATCAGTATGTAGTGTCTCTACTTTAAAGAGTCCTCTCCTGCTGATGTTCAGGTGTATATCAGTATGTAGTGTCTCTACTTTAAAGAGTCCTCTCCTGCTGATGTTCAGGTGTATATCAGTATGTAGTGTCTCTACTTTAAAGAGTCCTCTCCTGCTGATGTTCAGGTGTATATCAGTATGTAGTGTCTCTACTTTAAAGAGTCCTCTCCTGCTGATGTTCAGGTGTATATCAGTATGTAGTGTCTCTACTTTAAAGAGTCCTCTCCTGCTGATGTTCAGGTGTATATCAGTATGTAGTGTCTCTACTTTAAAGAGTCCTCTCCTGCTGATGTTCAGGTGTATATCAGTATGTAGTGTCTCTACTTTAAAGAGTCCTCTCCTGCTGATGTTCAGGTGTATATCAGTATGTAGTGTCTCTACTTTAAAGAGTCCTCTCCTGCTGATGTTCAGGTGTATATCAGTATGTAGTGTCTCTACTTTAAAGAGTCCTCTCCTGCTGATGTTCAGGTGTATATCAGTATGTAGTGTCTCTA